GCCTGAGGCTTGGGACGCACATATGCACTTTGAATTCGACATTTTTCTCTTAGTGCGGGTGCATCTGTAGATCTGATAAACTTTTCAAATACACATCGCGTTATTAAACTGACAGTGATTTTGCTTTATCAATTATTGAGTGTGATATTATTGTGTTCGGTGCAGTTTATTTTATAACGCTGATAACAATGAACCAACAAATTATCAAGGGAGAAACTGCAGATACTGCAAATACTAGGTAAAGGGTGCTCATGTACTAAATGCCTGTTCGAGTTTCGCCTTCTTTTAAATTTCCAATTAAAGTACTCACACAATTATACACACTAAAGCAGTTTAAGTGCAAAAAAATGCAGATGTCCATCAATTTGCAGAAAAATGTATTACAAACTTTTGAAAATCTTCAAACGACCGGGTATTTATCATTGCACATTGCCGTGTACTGTTAATTATTGTTTTAAGAACTAACAATCGATGTTGTGCAACAAAATTGTGCCTAAGATCCACTACAATAAAGTTTTTGATAAACTGTTGGACCTATTTTAAATCGCCTGATTGATTGTGGACGCAAATTCGTATCAAGAAAATTAAATTAAATTAAATCGTATCGATACAATCCCGGTACCGATTCTCTATGTCTTACTCTCCGTCTGTAGTCCAGATGCTGCCCACGTGCATTGTATTTCAAAGTTCCGAACTGGTAAAATATTACTACCTACTTGTTTAGTGATTTTCATCGGAGACAATTGTTAAACCAGATGTTGAGCGGATATTTTCTAAAGAAGGCAGGGTCAATTTATGAAAAACGCTCATGATTAAGTGCAAATAAAGTGTCACAACTATTATTAATAACTTTTAATGCATTAATATGTCCTATTATTTGTTATTTTATTTTGTAACAACAAATTATCAATATTTAGATATCTATTTTGTAATCTTTCATATTTAACATCAAATGATAAACATCATTACTGTTTTGTAATAATATATAATAAATATGTTTTGAATTTAATTGAAAAAATATTTGAGTTTACCTCGGTTATTTCAG